CAGAAACAGAGAACGGTGGGGGGGCGTGGAATGGCCCAGTGGCGCACTGGAGTTTACAAAACCCTGAAGAGATATTGAGGTGCCAATGGGGACAACTCCGGCTTCTTCCCTCTGCCTTACCACAGTCCTGCCTATATACCTTATTTTTAAGTTTATATGCAGCAAGCAGCATACATATGGTCAGCAACATACATTCTCCTGCGGCCATTCACAATACAAGTAAAAGAAACGCGATGTTCTCCATCTCTTCTCATCCTTTACAATGAACTCCTTAAATCCCCCTGCCCTTCTGAAATGAAGACTAAATACACAGAGGTGGAATAAACACCTTCTTCCTGTTTATCCCTGCCTTCATCTCCCTCGTCTCAAATTTTAGATCCTCAGAGCTGGGACTTCACTTCGCATGCTCTTTAAAGCGCTGTATGCATTAAGAGTGTCATATAAAACCATATATACAAGGGAGGGAAATCAGCGAAACTCCAACAGCCTCCTTTCCCCACCACTAAACATCCTACAGAACACAAAAGATGTTTGTCACCCGCCTTATGTTGGAATACAGTAGGTAACAGGCTGGGGTCTTATATTTAAGCAAAAATCAAAACTACTGTATGTTGCGGCCTCATTCGACAAAAGCCACCTGCATAAGATCATTACCTCTCCTTGAACGCCTCTTTAAATTTAATGCTTTCCTCCTTTTCTCTTGAAATTCAATCTGCAGCTTTATTTCCACAACCTGAAACACATAAGGCAGCATTTAAGAACATAAGAGAAGCCAAGTTGAATCAAGCCAGTGGCCCACCTACTTTGTGTCACACAGTGGCCAAAACTCAGGTGCCATCAGGAGATCCACCAGCAGGGCCAGAACTCCAGAAGCCCTCCCACTGTTGCCCCCCAAGCACCAAGAATACAGAGCATCACTGCCCCATTTTTGAGACAGACAACTATTTAAGATCTTAAACTAAGGCAATGGAAGCAGAAGAAGAACTAGCAGGTAACCAGCATTACAAATGATGCCCCTGGCATAACAATTACCTCCTGAGTCTCGCTGCTGCAGTTTACCTGAAAGTTGGTCCCCAAAAAGGATTCCAAAGCCCAGGTTCCCCACTAGCAGTGTAAAATCTTGAAAAGAGGGCCTGGCTCACTACACAAATAATCTTTTGTTCTGACGTTACAAAAATATGATTTCTCTGCACAGTCGCAAAGAGTTTTTAACCTGTGACCATTTGTTGAGGAGGCAGGAGAAAGGCCCCCTCTGGAGGGGAGGTGCCTCCTAGTCCCACCCAGGTGAAATCTTTCTTTGAAAAAAAGACATCCTGCCTCCACACGGATGGAGAGGAGATCGCCCTCTGGATCTTCAGATGATGACAAAGCAAGGAGTCTTGTAAGATAAGGATGTTTGACAACTGGCCGGCAGAGGAAAGTGGGGTGTACATAGAGAAGTTACCTGCTCAATATTAGACCAGAAGTACTCAATTTCTCTTGCAATCGAGGCAGCGATACGCCTGAGCTTGTTCTGTTCCTCTTTCTTGGCTCTCTCTTCGTTCAGTTTCTTTTCGTCATGGTAACGAACCACAGTTCGGACCATCTGATGAATAAAACAAAACAGCTAACAAGAGCTTTTGTTCTAGAGAACTTGGCTATCATCTTATACAGTGTGGCTTCTAAAACCATTTTAGCAAATAAAGCAATTTACTTTTGCTAAACTGGCTTGATAGAAGAGAAGGAAACCCCAAAACATCTGACCATGTTGTCTAGTATCCTACTGTCTGTTTCTAATGTCACCACTTGGAGGGGTGAGGTCCGTTCCGACTGCAAACCCCAACTTTCCCTTGTATGCTAATTTTTATTTTTACATTTACTTGTCAGCTATGCTGCCATGGGGGTTGGGATGTTCTTTCAGCGTCTGTGTAAATGGCCTTCGCATTCCTTTCTCTCTGCTTTCTCTCCACTTAGCGCTGAAATGCTTATCTCTAAAGAAGTACAGGTGGCCAGCCGTGGGGGCCGAAATATTCCCAGCTTCGCATAGTAAGGCTTGCTGGTTCTAGCCCACGCGCGGGAGGGTGCTTAATTGGCCAGTGCAGTGGGGGGGCGCATACGAATGCCCTATATCTCATTAGGTTCAAGAGGCAACTGCTATTCTTAACAGTGACTATGTTAATGCATCTATTGCTCTTCAATAAAAGTATCACCTTTCTAAAGAAGTGCGTACTCCGTTGTTGGCTGTGGGTTCTGACATTACTTTTATTGTACCTCGCTTTTCTTCCCAGGGGGACCCACAGTGGCTCTTCCCTTCTCCGTTTTATCTTCAAAACAACCTTCAGAGGCAATGCTCCCTCTAAGCTGTGGAGACGTGTGAGCAGGGTGCCCTCTAAGCTGAGTTAGTGTGAGCCAGCTCACAGTTTTTTAGCCTTTGGCTCACACATTTTTGTCTCAGCTCGGGAAGGACGGCTCCAGAGCAGACTAATTTATGCCGCAGCCAAATCGCTCGCTCACAACTTTAATGCCAGCAGCTCACACAGTAGAATGTTTGCTCACAAGACTCCACAGCTTAGAGGGAACATTGCTTGTGAGCAAAAATTCTACTCTGTGAGCTACTGGCATTAAAGTTGTGAGCGAGCGATTTGGCTACTGCATAAATTAGTTTGCTCTGGAGCCATCCTTCCCGAGCTAAGACAAAAATGTATGAGCCGGAGGCTAAAAAACTGTGAGCTAGCTTACACTAACTCAGCTTAGAGGGAACACTGTTCAGAGGTAGGTTAGGCAGAAAGGGTGTGACCAGCTCAAGGCCACCCAGTAAGCTTCCACAGGAGAGTGGTCGCCCACACCCCAGTCTGACACACTGACTACTGTACACCATACTGACTGTTAATGACCAACCACTGCTGTCTAGGGGGGGGGGGGGGGGGGGGGGGAGATTGCAGAGAGCTGCAGGAGGAAGAGGCAGCAACATCATAGGGCAGTAGCTGTAATTTCTCAAATTACCACACAAGGTGGCCCCTAAGGAGACTGACACAGAGTTCTGCTCCTCCCTTACTCTGCCAGCTTTTGGAAAATGCTATTTGAACTTCATCATTAATCATACAAGGCCTTTCACTCTGAGCTTGATTCAAGACTAGGGTCCATGAAAGAGATCATCAGTGATGACGACAAATCCTGACAACCTGCAGAGTGAGCCTCCAGTTGATCATAAAATTATCCTCTAGAATAGGTCCAGGATGCTCAAGGATCAGCCTGCAGGCCAGATAGAGCCCCCGAAGCATTTTTAGCTGACCCAGGAGCAACATTCCCTCTAAGCTGAGTCAGTGTGAGCTAGCTCGCAGTTTTTTCAGCCTCCGGCTCACACATTTTTGTCTTAGATCAGGCAGGATGGCTTCAAAGCAAACTAACTTATGCAGTAGCCAAATCGCTCGCTCATAACTTTAATGCCCAGTAGCTCACAAGGTAGAATGTTTGCTCACAAGACTCCACAGCGTAGAGGGAGCATTGCCCAAGAGATGTTCCCTATAACAATTGTTTAATAAACTACAGAGAGAGAAATCCAGTGCACTGATATGGTTTGATCAGAGCTGAGGATTATGCCCCCCAACCCTGGCAACCTACAAAACTCACTGGATGACCTGGGGGCCAGACACTGCCTCTTAACATAACCTATCAGAGTGGTTATGAGAATAAAACAGAGAAGGGGAGAACTGTCCTCAGATTCCTGGAAAAACGGGGGAGATAAGAATGTCACTGACATATAAGACAGCTAAAAGTATGGAAAAAGTTTGGCCATCGTTCCTTTAATGAGGAAAATACAACTCTTCTCAAAGTGTTAAGAATACAGGTGAGATGTCACACTTGAATATGTCGTCCCTGCCAATGCAGATAATTTTATGCCTGACGGCAGGACAGGTGAGATGTCACACTTGAATATGTCATCCCTGCCCTTCAATTTTCCAGGCCAATGCAGATAATTTTATGCCCAACGGCAGGCATTTCATAATGGGGAGCTTTTGGTTGTTACGCAGAAGTGCCTTTGTGATAATGCCCAACCACTGGTGAAGCGTTCCAGTTCAGAGGCAAAAACGAGCTTCCAGCCTCCAGAAATAAAACAGCACCCAGGAAGGCAGGACCCAGCCAGCCCCATTTCAGATTCCGCCAAGGGGGCACCCACGAAACCCACAGTACCTTCTTCGCCGCTGCCCTCTTCCACATCCGCTCCTGGGCAAAGTCAGTTGCCATCCACTGCATTTCTTCCAGTAGGTAGTCCCAGTGAGATTTGGGTCTCGGGGCCTCTTGCAGTTTGGGCAGCCGTCTCAGAGACCACAGCCCCTCTTTTCGCAGCTCTGCTATTCGTTGGTGGATTTGGTTTTCCTTTCAATGCAAGGAAGAGGAAGGGGGGGGGGAGTCTCATTGGCAATAGAATGTGCTGTGATTATCGCAGGTGTGCCCCTGCTTTTCCCACACTGCCTTATGCCTATTGTTGATAGTACACCTTACCCCAGATAATTAGTCATTCACACTGGTATCTAATTCTGCAATCCTAATCCTATTTTATTTTTATTTCATTCTATTATTTCAATTTATATCCCGTCCTTCCTGCAAGCAGGCTCAGGGCAGCTCAGAGCAATTAATAAAACACAGTCTTAAAATAATTCAAATAATAAATAATAATACTGAATCGGTACAATAAAACCAGTTTTAAAAAGTGTTCTATTGCGTTGTTCACTGGTTGTTTTATGCTGCTTGTCTGTCCTATTTCATATCCCGTATTCCACCTTGAGTATCAGTGGGACACGTGGACTATAATTAAAAATTCAAAAATCTGACGAAAACAACGGATGTTAATTAACCTACCACAAACTGCAATAACTGACACCTGAAGAGCATTAAAAGTTACAAAACAGACTTAAAACAAGATGGAAAGTACAGTTTACAAAACCCATCCAAGGCTGGTGTGACATACAGTGCAATCCTAAACAGTGGCTTCTAAGCCCACTGACTACAACTGATTTAGAAGGGCATGACTCTGTTTAGGATTACACAGCCTCAGCCACTCCCTCCTCTCTGAAATGAACCGTTCATCTATTCTGTAATGCAGGGGTGTCGAACTCATTTGTTATGAGGGCTGGATGTGACATAAGTGAGACCTTGTTGGGCCAGGCCATGTGTGTCATAAAATGTAGCGGAGATATAAACTTTATAAAGGACACAAACACAAAGGGATTTTTTAAACTTAAAATAAAAACATTGCTTAAAACATTAGCACTCTTGCAATAGTTTTTGTTTATTTAACAGTGTCTGATAACTGACACCTCTTGCTCTGAATTATTGCATCAAATGTCTGTGCTGTTGCAGTCTTGAGTATGCTGTTCAGGTGTGTGTATCTGTAAGCTGCAAACCTATGATGACACAGCAGCAGCAGAACTGGAAGAAGAAGCAGAAGACAGCCAGTTCCACTGCGGGCCTAATAGAAGCCCTCCGGGGGCCTGATCCGGCCCCTGGGCCACATGTTTGACACCCCTGCTGTAATGTACATCAGTGCTTCCAAGATAATATACCTAAAGCACTTTGCACACTCAAGCACTAAATCATACTCAAGCACTAAACTTGAAGAAGTGAGCAGTGCCTCACGAAAGCTCCTAACCCTGCCACAAATTTTGTTCGTCCTTAAGGTGCTACTGGACTCTTGCTCTTTTCTACTGCTACAGACAGACTATCACGACTACCCTTCTCAATCTATCAAGCACTGAACATTACTCAGTTGTGCGACATTCTCTGTTTCAATGCTGTGAGATCAGGGCGGTGTAACCACTATGCTAAGGTTTGAACAGTTTCTTGTGTTGCTCTGCGCAGAAGCAGAGTAAGCTGTGCAAGAGACTCGTCAATGTATTCCTTGCTTAACATTGCTAGATGCAAAAAACACTGGAGCTGCTGCTATAAAGTGGGAGTAAGAAAAAAAACAACAGACATGCAAATAATTAAACAGGCATCAGACCTTTTTGCACATGAAGGCTGCTGCCATCAGAATGAAGGATTCTTACCAATTTAACTTGCTCTGCCAGCTTCTCTTGGGAGCTGTCCTGTGGCGGAACGGTCGTATTCTGAGCTGGACCCTGGGTCTTGGGTGCTGCGGTCACTGCCAAACCTGGGGGCTTCGAGGCAACAGGAGACGCAGACTTGTTTGTGGCTGGCGAGGTCCGGCTGGTCTGGGCTGGGTAGGTGGACTGTGGGGCCGTAGTGGAAATGGCTGCCGGTGGGTTGGACGAGGTAGGAGGAAGGGTGCTTGCCGGAAGACGCTGGGAATTTTGGACAGAGTCCACAGATGTTCTCGCCAGGGTCACAGTCTGTAAAGGACACACACATTTTGAGAGGAGGACTTCTTTTTTAAAGGGGGGGGTACGTGCTATCTATACCTGCCTTACAGTACAATATGCACTGATTAGATATAGACCTAACTATGTAAATCCAGGCTGTTTTAAGGAAGTATTACTGTTGCAGTACCAGACTGCCAATACAGTTGCACTAGAGTATTAGGAAGGGGTTCTGGCGCAGTGGTAAAGCATCTGCCTAGCATGAAGAAGGTCCCAGGTTCAATCCCCGGTATCTCCAATTAAAAGATCTGGCAGTAGCTGATGTGAAAGACCTCTGCCTGAGACCTTGGAGAGCCTCTGCTAGTCTGAGTAGATGGTACTCAAATACAAGTACCCAAATACAAGTGCAAGTTTGTGCATATCTTTGTGGGGCGGAAGAACACAAATGCATGGAATCTCCCACCCTCAAGCTTTCAGAGGGCACCAGCCAAGTGGAAAGGGAGCAGTCCTGAGCTCTGCAACCCCAAGGACAATCGTGGACTCTGACTCTGATGGACCAAGGGTCTGATTCAGTATAAGGCAGTTTCATGTGTTCAGTGGTAGTGTATGACAAAGGCTAGCTTTCTGGAATCCCGAGCCAAATTGCCACGTGGAAACAAAGCACAACACCTATATCTGACTCATGATCAGTAGCCACAGAATATGGAAGCCAACAACCAGGTGGCCTATGAAACACTAGTTGTTCTGGAGAGACAGAGACAGACAGAGACAGACAGAGAGAGAGAAAGAAAGGGACAGAGACACAGACACAGACAGAGAGAGAGACAGAGACACAGACAGACAGACAGACAGAGAGAGAGACAGAGAGAGAGAGACAGAGAGAGAGACAGAGAGAGAGAGACAGAGAGAGAGACAGAGACAGACAGAGACAGACAGAGACAGACAGAGACAGACAGAGACATGACAGAGAGAGAGACAGAGAGAGAGACAGAGAGAGAGACAGAGAGAGAGACAGAGAGAGAGAGAAAGAGAGAGAGAGAGAGAGAGAGAGTGTGTGTGTGTGTGTGTGTGTGTGTGTGTGTGTGTGTGTGTGTGTGCATGTGTGAAGGTAGCAGACAATGAGCTCAGAGCCACAGAGACCCATGGTTCTGTGATTCTCTTCTCATAGGGCATTTGGGGCTCAGTGGTTGAGGGGGAAGAAGATGGGGAATCTGCAATGCCTGCCGACGGGGGGTCCAGGGAGCAATTCCCCCCCAAATACAAGTGCAAGTTTGTGCATATCTTTGTGGGGCGGAAGAACACAAATGCATGGAATCTCCCACCCTCAAGCTTTCAGAGGGCACCAGCCAAGTGGAAAGGGAGCAGTCCCGAGCTCTGCAACCCCAAGCACAATCCCGGAAATGAGCAATCCTGATTCACACACAGCTTTCATTGAAGTATGAAATGCCCATCGGCATGATGTGTGGAATGCGCACACAGTAGGATCTGTGGGACACAGCTGGAAACCAGCTGTGAGGAATTGAGAGGGAGAGACAGGCACGCCAGCACTGCCCCAGTGTGTAACATCACACACCCTGAGCCCTGCTTGAAGGGAAGGGCAGCCTAATAAATTAAATACATATAAATAAATCAATAAATTCAGATGCAACACCAGAAGTGATGTCACCCCATCAGGGTGTTTCTGTAGGATTTGCCCAAAACTCTATGATTGAACCACTGAATTTTTGGCTCTTTCGCCACAGCCTTTCCAGCAAAAGGAACACTGCCTCATCATGACATCACTTCCACTTTTGTGCCAGCCCCACGTGGCATTTGCCAACCCAGCCTGGACCATGGATAGTGAGAAGTTTCGCCCCCATCCTACCTAAACTCAAGTGTCTACATTCCTCATCTGACTTTCCCAAGAGGGTGCATAACAGCCACTCACTGGCATGAGAGAAATGGGTTTACTTAAAGATTCCAAAGAGAATATATTATCTGTGGATTACACAGAAGCCTTTACCTTTGCGTCCATCAGTTGGGTATCATATCTCAACGCCTAACAAACACACCACGCATCATGCTTTACACTTTGCTAGTAGACACGGCTAAATGGAAGAACCCATTCCTTGCAAGCAGAAAGCCTCAAGTTCAGTCCCTAGCATCTCCAGTCAAAGTTTTCTTAGGTAGCAGGGCTGGGAAAACCCTTATCTGAAACTCTAGGTGAAAATACAGTAGAGGGCTAGATGGACCAATGACCAGTGTACCCTCTAAGCTGAGTTAGTGTGAGCTAGCTCACAGTTTTTCAGCCTTCGGCTCACACATTTTTGTCTCAGCTCAGGAAGGAGGGCTCCAGAGCAAACTAATTTATGCAGCAGCCAGATTGCTCATTCACAACTTTAATGCCAGTCGCTCACAAAGTGGAATTTTTGCTCACAAGACTCCACAGGGAGCATTGCTCCAGGGGTCACTACGAGGGAGCATTGCTCCAGGGTCACTACGCAGAGGCAGGCAATGGCAAACCACCCCTGTGTAGGAAAGGGAAATGTCTAGTGTACAAAGAAGCAGCGAAGGAGACTCTGCAGGGGGCAGCGAAAAGATAACTAGAGAGGATAGTGAGGTCAGCACCTTCTCTCCTTTTAAGTGTCATTCCTTGTCTGTCTCCAGATTGCTACTCTCAGGGCAATCTCCCCCTTCTTTTTGGAAGTACCACACTCAGCCTTACTTTCTCTCTCTCTCTCAGCTAAAGATGTAGTTAGTTACCTGTCTCTAGCTCTCATCTTTCCTAACAAGTATGTTAATTCCTAAATAAACCTTTATCTACTCTTTGAGAGACAGTTTGGTGTAGTGGTTAAGTGCGCGGACTGTAATCTGGGAGAACCGGGTTTGATTCCCCACTCCTCCACATGCACCTGCTGAATGACCTTGGGCAAGCCGTAGTTCTGTCAGAGCTGTTCTTGAAAAAGAGCAGTTTCTGTCAAGAGCTCTCTCAGCCCCACCTACCTCACAGGATGTCTGTTGTGGGGAGGGGGAGGGAAAGGAGTTTGTAAGCTGCTCTGAGACACCTTTGGGTAGTGAAGGATGGGGTATAAAGCCAATCTCCTCCTCCTCCTCCTCCTCCTCCTTCTTCTGTTTCCAAGCAGGAAAATGGCACAAGAGAGAAAGCTGAAGCCCCCGCT